TTGATGATATTTAATTTTGCTTTCATTTTATATTTGATAAAAGACATTATAAAACATATTACTGACAAACTTTGTCGAGCATTATAAGAAAAATTTGAAGATGTTATGTTCTTGATATTTACCATAAAATCACAAGTTAATATATTATGGTTAAGACGTTCTTCTGAAAAAATTACTTTAATTTTTTTGTGATAACCAAGCTATTAAAATTATGATATGAATGATTTTTACTTTGATATAAATATAAAGATTTTGTGACAATTGAGTTTTATTTATGGTGTTGATATATTTGTTTACTATAATTATCAATCAAAAGAATTAAATAGTAAATTTAGTATGTGAGTAATAAAGCTTCCTAAATAGAACAAAATTTTAGATCTCAAGGATGCATTTGAATCATTTAATACCTATAAGAAAGATAAAATTTTCACCAATTTAATGATACTTTATATTGAGAAGAAAATTGTAAAAATATATATTGCAAACATGATAAATAATTATTTTTATATCATGAAAAATTGATGAGTGAAACTTAAAAAATAGAGGTATATATTTATTTTTGTTATATATTTGTAAGACTAAATATAAGTATATATTTAAATATTTACATTATATTAATAATATATAATATATATATATATCAACTTTCCTTCAAATATTATAAATGCTTTATCATCTCAGATTGAGGGGGTAGTAGATAGAGATCATAAAACATTTTTTCTCCTCATTTTAGGATGAATAAAAAATAAAAACATGCAGTAATATTCAAGTGAGAGTCTAAGAGACACTCCCTCTATTCAAAAATATAAAGCATTTTTAACTGAATCTCACCCCTAATAAAGTAGTTACCTACTTTCAAACTAACACTATCTTTTTATATTTACCCTTATTAAACACTCTACAATAAATATAAAGTCACTACTAATAGAGGTATTTTTGAAAAAAAAAAAAATAATTATATCTCGAAAGATTAAAAATGTCTTATATTTTTTAACATCTGATTTTTTAAAAAATATTTATATTTTTAAATGAAAGGATTATATAGCACGCAGGTGTTGTGGCCTTTTTATCTCCATTCCATTCCACCAACTTTGAAAAGCATTTCTGTTATAAAAAAACATTTATTTTGTTAAGAGGAAATTTTGTATAGATGATGCGTACGTGTTGTTTCGTTTGCTTTGTTTCCCATTTTATTCTTTACTTGGCGCTTATGATGCTTTTGTGCCTTCTCTTCTGCTTGTTAATGTTTGTCTGTGTAACCAAACATCATATTTAGGGCCAGTTATAAATATTCTATCGTTTTAGGGTTAAGGGTTGGTCCATTTAAGCTTGTTTTATATTTTTTATATAAAAAATTATTAATACTTAATAAATGAGGAGGGGAGAATTCAGATATTAAAAAAAGTAGAAAAAGAACCTATAAAAAAATGAAAATTTGGATACTTTTCTCACTAAAAAAGACAGCTCAAAAAATGAAGTACAGTCAAATATTATTAACATTAAAGATGATAGTAGTAAACATTACTGAATATAGTACTTTTCAATAGTATAATATTTAATATAACACAATAAAAATTACTTAACATATCAAGCTTGGCTCACAATCTGAATAAGTCTGGACATTAGAAAATGATTGCTTTACTAATCAACCCTAATTTTTTTAAGTTCATTTAGGCAACAATGTGAATTACCAGCTCTGTCATTGTCTAACTTTATATATAGATATAGATATAGATAGATTTTTATTGAAGGCTGGCCCAGTTTACGTGCCATCCTTCCTTTTGATTTTGTCTCATCTACAACATGTTTACTGTTTCAATCACTTCATTTCAAAGGGTCTCACAATCAGTACTTTTATTTTATTTTTTTGTTGTATTCCATGTGAATATTGGACATATGTCAATGTCACAACCTCATCTATTAATAACTTAGTATTATTGCAGCCGTTTCCAAACACAACCGTAACAATGTCAATGTCACAACCTGATATGTTAGTACGTAGCCATGTGTGTTTTTCAAGAAGAAAATATCTCTAGTGTTGCCCACTTCACTAACGGTGTTGTGTTTGGAAACGTTTACAATAACGTAGCCATGCGTGTTTTTCAAGAGAGAATATCTCTAGTGTTGCCCACTTCACTAACGGCAGTGGTTTCACCGTTTCAGTGGTCAGTGTGCTAATGAGCACTGTAGTACTCAATGCTGCATTGAAAACTGAACCATTCAAATTTTAATCTGAATAATTTAAAATTAAAATATTATTATTTTTTATATTTATTAAGATAAAAATTATAAAATAATTTTAATAATTTTTTTATTTTTAATATGATTTAAATTTAATTTAAAGAGCCTAATTTAATATTAAAAATTTTATGATTAATATACATTGACTATTTAAATGTACTCTACACAATCCAAATCTAATCTAGTATTAATTTAAGTTTTGCAGAGTATATCTGAATAATCAATGTACATCAATTGTAAAATTTTTAACATTAAATTGGGCCTTCTAAATTAAATTTAGATCATATTAAAAATTAAAAAAATTACTAAAATTATTTTATAATTTTTATTTTAATAAATATAAAATAAAAATATATAATAGTACTTTAAATTTAAACCATTTAAATTTTGATGAAGAGAGTTAGGATTTTATTACAGTGATGAGCGCATAAACCAATCTCCTTCACTAACCAAGCTTGCTTTGTGGATCACTTGTCTGGGCCAAACCGACCATTGAAATCGCAACTTTGTGAATTAAAGCACTAAAATCAACAAAGGTTCCTCAAAACAACAATAAATGGCCCCTTACGTTGACAAACATTGGACAACTAAAGCTCCCGTGGAAACTATAGTTTACAAAATAAAATTAAATTAAAAATCAATTATTGTAATATAATTTATGTTTGAATATATATTTTTTTAAAAAAAATACTTGTTTGTGTCCTTAGGTTGACCAACATTGGTTAATTAAAGCTTGTTTGAGTTCCCTTCGCTCTCTCATTAGGGTTTGAATGCTGAAAACCACATTTCAATTATCATTTACCAGTTCTTGAAAAACTTTTTCAACATAAAATCCAAATTTGATAATTGAAATTAGATAAAATGCTCAATCATGCATAAAAAGGATCAATATGTTGTGGCAATTGAGGGGTGGGTCCTGACAATAAAGTTGCACCTCTGAAAAAGGAAATTAAAATTAAAGTCACATCAAACTTTCATTAGTGTTTCTGATTCAGTTTCCCAAAAAAGAAAAAGATGGTAATAATTAAATTAGAGTAATATAAATCAATAATTAAAAAGCTGCATATACTGTGGTGTCTAATTAAATTTGTGCGTGGAATGATTGGGTTGCTTCAATATCAACCATTCAAATAACTATTAAACAACGCAATAATTTATAACCTTTAATCCATACTCAAAATATATTGACTTGTCTGTGAGTAGGGACTCCATCATCAAGTTGCTCAGACTGTTTAAAGAGGCAAGATAAGAACAAGATTGATGCCACCATTTGCCTTTACTCTCCCCCACTCCCTCTCCCAAATGTGATTATTTGGGAGAATGATGCATCACGAACCTTTTTTTGTGGGATGGCAAAAAATTGTTTCTGAGAAGTATTTTATTAAATAAAAAAGATATTAGCATCACTGCAGCTTTGATACTTTGTGTAAAGACAGGAAAAAAAAGAAATATTATTTATACTTCATAAATTGTATGATTTATTTGAGTTCCCGTTGTTGAGATAAGTTATACTTACAATTCATTGTTTATAAATAACATGACTTTATATATTATTTTTATTTTTTAATGCTAATGACAAAGAATGACTTCTTCTTGTTTTTTAATTTTTTGGTATGAGGAATATGAATATTTTGCTAATAATATGATTGGACATGATCATATGACACCACATTAACCAGTCATCAACGAAACCCTACCTTCCAATTCCATGCGATGCAAGTTCTTCAATACAATATTTTATTAATTTAAATGTCAAAGCATGATTTTATGGAGATAGTTTATTAATTTGAACATCATTGGATAATGATCAAATTATAACAACTAGATCAAGCACAGTGCATTAAAAGTAAACGGACGGTCTTCATTAAATTTTCCAGTCAAAACATAGTGTGTATGTAAAAGTATTTCAAGTTTAGTCATATATTCACACCAGTTTTATTTATAAGACCACCCTTATCGGTCTTCAATACACAACTAGTTCCAAAATTTAATGTAACCATTTACAAGTCATATACAAAATTGCAACTCTACCCATCTTCTAATGCTGAGAAAAAGTTCTCATTTTTTATCTAGCATGATTAAGGGCAATTGGGAAAAAAATATAAAAGTTTTTAACACTTCCCTTAATACAAGTAAAGTAGTCAACAGATGCTTATAAAAGAAACCGGATAGAGTATGTTGAATTAAAAAAAAAAAAATTATTATAATAGTACTATCTACCCTGATGTTTCAAAAAGCATATATTTTAAAAAACAATCCAAAGCTTTTTTATGGGCTTTGGTCTTTCAAATCCTAAGGGATCTTTTCATGCATCTTGATCGCTTCTCTTTTAGAGATCTGACGCGTTGCTTGCTGGTTCTTCAAAAATGTCTTATGGGCCTACCTTTGGGTTGGTTACTTATTTCCTCCTCATAGCCACCCTTTCTATTTTTATTTCTTCCCCTTATTTGCATGATCCTGGCTTGGGCAAATCTAATTAAGGAGCAGCTGTTCTCATCAGTTTCAGGTTTATTTGGTTTCAGTTTTTCAAGTTTATGTTTTTTATTGGTCCTTGTTCGTAATACTTTCAGGTTGGGCTTTCAGATTCATTGATCTGAGCCTCTTTGGTCTGAAATTATCATTTTATATGTTTATATATATGGACTTTTTAACCAAAAAATAATAATAATAATTAGTTGAAAACCGTAAAATCAACGAAGAAATTATCCAATGACTAGTCAAGAATAATATGATAAATTAAAATTCAAACATCTTGCAGCTAATAAAAAGATTGAAGCCATTCATTCACACACGTTTTGATGCCAGAAAGCTGGGAGTTTCATGTATTCCATCCACCCCATGTATTGAACAAATCAAGCCACCAAAAGTATTCAATTCCAAGGCGCTTGTGTATTATATATACACTGCCCATGCTACTACTTGAGGGAGCTACAACAAGAGTGTGCCACTGAAGTGCAAAAGACAAGCCACAGAAAACACGGAAGATGCTAAGTTAAAGGAAGAAGAATTACAACACCAATGCTTTAGGAACAACAAGATGCAGCAGTTCTGGATCCTTCTGCAGGTCTGTCCACAAGCACCATCCCTGCCGGGTTTGGAGCAGGCTGAGCCCTCGGTAACCTCTTTGCTGTTTACACAACCAAATTGCCAGTCAAGCAGCACAGTTTATCAGAAATAATTCGCATGCTTTAGAAGACGAACTCCAAACCAAGATATAATAAATGTGATTTCATGTCATCGGAAACCGGTAGACATGTTAAGCCAACTAAACATTCAAATACATTATAATAAGAAATGGGTCAAGGAACAAGTAAAAGTTTGTGCCAAGGAGGAGCCAAAACATTACTCCCTCCGGTCATATATATAAGTCACTTTTACTATTTCACCCGAATCAAAGAGAGAGAGTTAAATTATTGTTGTCTTGGGAAAAAAAAAAGAGAACAAAGAAATTCCTCAATTTATCTATACTAAATGCAAAATCTTTAAAAGCACTCTCTCTCTTATGTAACATTTTACTTTGCTCATAGAAAATTGTAAGAGGATAAAATTGAAAGCAATTAATTAATGATCCCCCTTTATGCAAAACAAGTTACCAAAAAAAAAAAAACCATCAATTTCTTCTAATAAGTTACTAGCATATGGGACTTGAGGGAGTACTAAGCAAAGCAGTGTTTTAAATAAACTGAACCCGAGATTCATTGCTAAATGTCCGATCATGTGATTAGGTTCTGATAATTGCTTTCAAGTCCCAGAACCAATACCATAAAATGTTAATTTAAATTCCAATAACTTGCAAATATAACCACAAAATCTTGCCCAGCAGAAGTATGGGGGACAAAGGTTCTTCCTCTAAAAGAAAGTTTCATTTCTTTGAATTGAGGTTCTGTCTACACTGGAATTATACTAAAGCAATTTAATTAAAGAAATAAAGTAGGTAAGAAAATGATTAAAATAGGACAGTTCATAATCATCATCAAGCAGCACAAAGTATTCAACATAGAAAATGGATCCCACCTATTTCATAAAACATGTCGTTTACATTGGTTGCAGTTTTGGCAGATGTTTCCATGAAAAATAGATTATTTTCTTCAGCATATGTCGTGCCTCCTGCGATGCCAATGAGATAAAACTTGTAAGTTGGTGCTTCCAAGGAATTGTATTTTGCACACAAAATTTGAAAATATATTGTATAAAGACCCACAATTTATCAATCATGGAAGAGCAAAGCACCTTATAATATTTCAAATTAAAGAACCTTTGCCATCGAGAATGGATGTTTTAGGAATTAGCACAGCACAAGTTTATGAAAAAGACACAACTACCCAACAAGTTCATGTCAGATTCACCATGCATAAACCTTCAATGACAAACAGATTACCAAAATTGCACTTGCAAAAGGGACAACAAAGGAGTTTCTTAGCTAGAAACAAAGCTGAAATGCAGGAAGTGTATCCATCAATCATGAAAAATAATTCAAAATGTTTCGCCAAATTTTATTCATGAGGAAACCCATTTGAAAAATTAAAGCTACTTTTCTAGTAGACATAGGTATAGACTATTAATTATTCTAGACCAGAATCTGCAGGCAACAAAACTAAATTTAAAGTCCAAACTACCGAAATTTTGATTAAAGCAAAATCAGTTGATTAAAAGGAATAGGGTTAGAGTTTATTTAGTTGTGTTTACTATATTGTAAGACCGAATATAACTCCAACAAGCTGACTGTCAACAGAATTGTCATTTTAACAGTGATTAACCAAACAAATAGGGAAGGATGCCGGTTGTGGCATGCAAACATGTAGGATACTGGCTCTCCATTTTTTTTTTTTTGGCTGAATTTTGACCATAAATCTTTTCCCTTATTTTGAAAAGAAATGAAAAGTAGGATAAATACAGTTTCACTGAACAGACATCTAGTTACTTGTCTACCTGGAGAAAGTTAGAAGGCTTTCTTTAGTTTATTTTTTGTTTCTTTCAAAACTAAAAGGGAAAAAGAAAGGATGGCCAAGATTAGCGCAAGAAACAAAGGAAAAAAAAAACATAAAAAACAAAAAAAAAAGGAAAAAGGAAACAAAAGAATTGAACGTCAGGACTGCACATCAGACAATCCAGATTCCCAGCAAATGGTTCCTCATACTTCAATAGTAGTTTTGGTGGATATTCAGAGCCAACGTCTAGAGCTATCCCTCAAGAAGCCTAAAACAAATGTAGCACTACACTTTAAATCAAGAGTTCTGTCTGAAACCTGCCAAGTACTCATAGTAGACACAACACAACAGTTTAAATTACATGTAGACACTTCAGATTTCGTCATGTCATTGTATCCTTTTGAATGATGTTGTGTCTATGCAAGTACCCATGCTTCCTAGCTCAGAATAGTTAACAGCCAGGACCCAAAAAAAGTCCAAATGTGTTAAGCCAGGGGCTATAGGAAATTTATTTGACAACTCAAATGCCAACAATCATCAAAGTAACACCATCAGTTGCAATACTCAGATGGACAACAAAACCCAAAAAATAAAACATAATAATAACATGACGCAAAATTCCTGTCATTTAAACCAGTCAAATTTAAATCTCTAGAGGAAACAAAAACAACTTTACCAAAATAACAACAACAAACCTTATTCTATTAGGTGAGGTCAAAAAAAATAGTTTTAGCAAAGTTGCAAAGTTCAAAAATTTAGATGTTAAAAGCTTACATGCCGTAATAAGAAAATTTGAATATGTAACAATACTTACTTCAGCTGTCACTTTCCTCTTATCTTCCAAATCAGCTTTGTTACCAGCAAGAGCCACAACCATGTTAGGATTCCCTGTAAAACACATCAAAATGAGTGTGTGATTTGGGAATCTGGCAATCTACTCTGAAAGTCTCCCACATTTTCCCTCCGGAAGGCGATTTATATTTGTGTGAAAACCAATGGCTACTGATATTTGTTTATATGGACTTTCATGCTTTTCTATTCTCAAATGAAATGACAGTTTTATCTTGACAGTTAATTCCAGCAAAAACAAAATAAACCATTCCCCAAAAAAAGATATTAAAAGGATGCGAATTATAAACAAGATTGCTCTGTCCATTAGTACAGACAGTTGGAATTCAAATGCTACCAGTACCAGGGATATGAAACATCAATTTTCTGATTTTCATTTTGTAATCTACAACCTTCATATCTCCACGCAATAGTATAGCATTATATCACATCCATAACATAAAGAAAGGACCAAGAATAAGAAATTTTCTTCTTTTTTATGATAAAGAGAGACGTAAATCACAAGAAATCTTCATGGCAATTACCATATACCTTGCTTTTGAAGTTCTAGGACCCACTTCTTGGCTCGTACAAATGAATCCTGTAATTGAGATGTAGAACTAGCCTTAGTAAACAAAGCATAACAATTTAAAATGCACTGCCTTAGACCTATCCAAACACATGCAGGGATAACCCTCCTAGCAGATTGAGTCTTCTCAACTTTTGTGAAAATACTATATTGATTCATGTTACTTTGTTTTCAGCAAGTTGCAAGGAAAAAATAGTTTTCAAGGCTCCATCTTACAAACTCAAAATCTGCAACTATACACTTTGCTAATTTTTATTTAGAAGGTTTTGTCCATCAAATTCAAGGATTGGGGTTCCCTACCTTTCCATATTCATCAATTAGAGGGTCTGATTTTTGCTAATATTCATTCTTTAAGTATGCAAATCAAATATGGATAAGGACGCAATTCGTAGTATGTCCTAAGCATGCATTGCACCCATTAGCAACTTTGCCTAGAATTTAGTATTTTCCAGGACCCAAGGAGCAAAAACACAACGTAAATAACTGGAGACAGAATTCAGTTTCAGTCAAGAAATCCATATCCTGGATACAAGAATAGAAGAAGAGGAAAAAACAACTTGAAGTACTCAGTCATCCACATCGCAAAAAGAAAAGAAAAGGATTACAATTGTACTTTAGTGCTTATCAAGAAGCGCAAATAGGCTGCAATAACTTTTTAAATCATCATTTACAGTTTCCAATATGAAATCATACAAACAAGAAAGGGATTTTGAACATAGAAGCACATCCAAGAAAACTATTAATTGATGAATAACAATATTACTCTTTCAATACACATTACTAAACGTTCCAAGGGAAGAAAATCATACTTCATTCGTAATGTCATAGACAATGATAGCAGCAGCAGCACCTCTGTAGTACATGGGAGCCAGACTATGGTACCTCTCCTGTCCAGCAGTATCCCAAATCTCAAATTTCACGGTTGCATCATTTACTGCCAATGTTTGTGAGAAAAATGCAGCCCCTATTGTAGATTCCTGTTAGTGCAATAGATCAAATACATTCAGCAAAAGAATCTTCAGGTATCATTTCATTTGCGTAAGGCTTTGGCACAATATATCAGGCCTCAGTGCCAAAAAAAAGGCCAATACTATTAATATGCATACTATGGTAGTGAGAAGACAAATTGCCCTCCTTCTCCCCCCTTCCTTTTTACTTGAGCAACAAAATATCAATTTGAGGTCAAAAACCACTACAATCAACACTTAATATCTTCCCTTCCCGTTCAAAAGGAAAACACCAGGCAAACTAGGCTGTAAATTACTATAACCAGCTGAAGCTTCTCTCGTTCAACCTATTATAGCTTTGAAATCAATGTCATTCAAAAACTAGCCAGCAGAATCCTGATTCCATTCGGTTAATGCAACTAGAAATTTATTTTTCCAAAAAAATTTTTTAGGTCAACGCGGCATTGATCATCTAAGGACAAGATGTGACAATCTTTCGTCATGGTAACGTAATTCACGAAATCACTATATGTAACAAATCCAGGGAAAATTTTCTGCAAACTAACACGGAAATCCTTCTAAGTTAGATGCAAGTACTTTCCGATTTAATTAATAAATAAATAAGGAGGTAAAATAACCTGGAATTCAAGAAATTGACCCTTGACAAAACGCAAAACGATGCTGGATTTTCCCGCACCCATGTCCCCAAGGAGAACCTGGTTTTAAACAATTCCAAAAATTCAGTATCATAACCTAAAATCATCGCCGAAACTGAATTAAACAGCAAAAGGAGAAAAGGGAAACGAAACAAGAGTCGCTCACCAGTTTGGCGTTGATGTTGTTGTGCCCGATCGTCGCCATGGAACGGAATCAGATAGATCGGAGGAATTCAAGAAAACGAAGAGGCCAAGCAACGAAAACAAGAGAAAATTCCAGAAGATGAGTAGTCGTGGTGATAAAACCTGTATAATTAGTACGGAAGTCTGTACAAGTTGTAAATTTGTAATCGAAGACAACGAACGAAGAAGCCAAAGTAAGCCAAGAGACCTTCCCCCTCACGGTGACGGTGCTTGCTTGCGCGTGAACGGTCCCTCTCTATACAATATATATACACGCACACGCACTCACATACGTTATATAGACGCACAGATGTGACATGAGATATGTATAATACTTCCTCATTTGAAAAATAAAGTATTTTTTTTATATGTTAAAAAATATAAAACATTTTTAATATTTTAAAATATAATTAATATATTTTTATTAAAAATATTTTTAATAAATCAGTCATTTTTTATTTATTTTAAAAAAAACATTCTATTTGGTGTTAGTTGTATTTTATTAGAGTGTTATTCAATTAAAATTACTTTTTATTTTTAAATTGAAAGAGTATATTTTCTTGATGATAAGATAATACAGATTATTATTAATTATTAATTAATTAAAAAATGGCACCAAAATTATCTCTACTTTTTAATTAATTAAATGTCAAATGAATTTTTTTTATAATATGAATAAAAATCATTTAGATATTTTAATATAAATACAATACTATCATTATAAAAAGTGAATTTGTTTTTTAAAAAATTTTTAAGTTGTAAATAATTAGAACATATTATTAATATATATTAAAATATATAAAAAATTTAAATATAATTACAAAATAAAAATTTTGAATATAAATTATTCAAATATATTAGCACAGATATTGCGCATGGCAAGAGAGAAAAATAGGAAAAGAAAAAGGTAGAGAGAAACCTACTTGATTAACGAGAGGGGAAAAAAAGAAGAAGAAAAATGAAACAAGACTCACATGTTTTTATCTTTAACTTTTCTCTGTAAATATAGAAAAATTTTGAATAAAAAACTCAACTTTTAAATGTAGACATGAATCTTTTTGTTTTCTACTCATTGCCTTCTTCCATTATCATACTAATTTTCCCTCTACTTTAAAATTTAGATTATTATGTATTTAATAATTTAAAAAAATAAAATTAAAATAGGACAAAATATTTTTTTGCTGGCATTGAGTAAAAGAATTTACAATTATATTTTTATTTAATTAGTCATATAAAATAGAAATTATATAAATAATATGTTAAAATATTAAATGTTATTATATATAAATATTCTTCTATAAATAATAAGGTTATTATTATACATATAAAATTAATAATTTTTTTCATTTTCTCTCACTCAATGAAGCATAGGAAAAAAAATTACATTCCTCAATTTTTCTCTTCCCTCCTTTTTTTATTCTCACATTTTATCTAGCTCCTTTTCTCTGAGCCAAGCATAATATTGGGGAAAAAGTGCATTTAAGGATGTAAATAATTAAAATTCTAGGATTTGAAATCACTTTAGAGTCTAAATTCACCCACCAAACATGTATCTTAATTATGGTCATTGAATTTTATCAACATTTAAAAATTATCATTCATCAAGATACATTTTTCTTTAAAATTTTTAATTTTAATAATCCTCATTATCAAAACACCCATCACATATGTCATCTCTTCCAACAATTTACAACAATCACTAATCTAATATGGTCTGAGAGGTGAGATTTGGTGTCTTTTTTGTATATATGACAAAATTATTTAATTAAATTGACTGTTGTTACCGTATCATGAGTGTTTATGCCATTTACTGTATCCAAATTCTATTACTAGGAGGGTACACTTTCGGTGCCTCACAAAAAGTGAAGAACATATAAATTTCTCAAAATTATAAAAGAAAATTATCGTTAGTTGTTAATATGAAAACGTTTTGATGAAGTGATTGGAGAATTAAAAATTGTGAAAGAGCGAGGAAAGGGAATAACTTTGTGTCGTGGATTTTGGGTGGCATGCTTGTCTTGACTTAACTTTTCGGAACACTCGAGAGGCGCGTTTGTTTTCTTTTTCGTTGGTGGCTTGACTTTGAAAGGCAGGTAAGCAGATGCGAGTTTCCTTTCAAATTGTGATTGGGGCAAAGTCTGCCACCGAAATTTTGATCATTCCTCTTCATCAAGCAAACAAGGCCCCACCCTCACCCCTTCCTCCAAGCGCAACGCAATAATTAGATGTCAGCCAATAGCCAACACATTACCCTGTAATCTTTACAATAATTTAACTCATTTTCATTAATTTTCTTAATTTAAGATCGCCTCATGAAAATATTCAGGGTAGTGTTATTTATAATTTATGAACAGTATAATTTCTTAAAGTTTTGTATATTGATATTGATTAAGTTTATAGGTGGTCTATGTTGTATTGCATAGAATTTGAGATTTTTTTTTTAACCAACACAAAGTTGTAGCTCTATGAACAATTTAATTTTTGAGAGAATTTTAATTAAGAATCACTATAAAAAATTAATTTTAAGTAAATTCAAAAAAAATTTAAAATTTCAGTTTAGTTCAAGAAAGAAAAGTTAAAAAATTTCAACGGTGAAAAAATTAAAATACTATTCACTTGTTATGTAGAATCACTAATTATTAATTTTCTCACTGTACTCATTGATTTACCAATATCATTTATAAATTATATCCGTTTGTCAAACAATCAATACCATTAGTTGTTAATTTGCTAACTTATTAATTTACTAACATCAAATGTAAATTATAAGACCTATCAATAATCTACAATTGATGTTAGTATGCAAAAAATGTCGGTAATTTACAACTGATGTTGGTAAATTAACGAATAAAGTTAGCAATTTAATAACTAATGTTGCTGCTTATGATTGAACAACTAATGTCAAGTCTTATATAATTATTAATATATTAACTCATGTAATTTGTAACTCATATTCATAAATTAACATGTGGAGTAAGAAAATTAATAACTAGTGATTTTACATAAAAAGTGAAGGATATTTTAATCTTTTTACCATCAAAATTCTTTTAACTTTTCTCTTCTAAACTAAACTAAAATTTTGAAAAAAAAATAGACCATCCTGAAATTAATTTTCTATAGTGATCATTAACTGAAATTCTCCCTTGATTTTTAATAGCTCATATATATATATATTATTTACAGGATTTGAAACATATACTTTTTTTGTAATATTTTATATACAAAATAATTTTGCACAATAACAATAAGCTTTATCTCACTAAATAAAGTTAATTATATAAATTATATGATGTCATTGTATTCTATCATTGTACAACAAAATAATTTTGTATTTTTTAAAAAAAATGTCCTGGTAAAAAATGACTATGATTAAAAATAATTTTGCATAGACCCCCAGATGTCTGTGATTGTTTATTGTCAAATTCCTTTGCTCTCTTTTTATTTGTCGTTATGTGTCTTTTCACTTTTTTCTTGCTGCTTTCTGGGTTTCAAATTTTTGGTGCTACTTTTGTTTTGGTCACTTCGTTTTATTTGGATTCTAGTTTGCTCCTACTTTAGTTTTTGTAAATTTCAGATACAAGTTGGGTAAAAAGAAAACGTGAGATGCGATGGAAATAGTGTTCAGCTAATGTAATTAAAAACAAATAAAAAAATATTATTTCAAGGAAACAAGCGTATAAACCAGAGGGCAACAATGGTCCCTTGATTTGGAAGTTTCAATGGAAATAGGCACCTCATTAATGCGAGAGGGATGGCATTTATAGTTTTATTTTTGATTGTGTGCAGATAATTTTGGGATAATAGAACTTTTTAATCTTTTAAATTTATCTCAATTTTTAATTTAGTTTCTTAAATTTATTTTTTATTGATTTAGTACCTACATTTACTTAAATTATCATATTAGTTCTTTGAGTTTTAAAACACAAATTTACTCTTAAATTATTTTAGTGTATAAAGTGTTTTAAAGACTTGACATATACGTTTAGCTAAATGAAAATAAATTAATTCTTAAATTAGTTTAATTTTTATTAATCTAGTTTCTTATGTTGCATTTTATTCTTTTATTTTTTTTAATTTTCTGAGTCTTTTTTTCTCTACCTAAATAAATTCACTGTTTTCATTAATCTACATAGTTGCCACTAATATTCTATTATCTGTGCCAACCAATTTTAACAATGTTATTTTTTATTTAAATAATAAAGCCCAAATTGATAACTAAGATAAATTTAAAAGAATAAATCAATAAAAATTAAACTTAAAAAACTAAATTGATAACTAAGACAAACTTAAAAAAATTAAAAGTTTTACTATCTCATCAATTTTTTATTAAAGGTAATCTTATTCGATACATGGGTGAGTTAGTTTTCTTTTAGATAAAGAGATAAATTGATCTTTAAACTATAAATTCAAAAGTTTCTGAAATTTTAAACTCATTTTTAATATAATGTTTTTCTTTAATTTTTAAAAACAATGTAATCTATCCTCTATAATTAACAAGAGTTATCTTTTACCCTTGGCTAACTAGAAAATAATGAAAAGGGGCCTCAAAATTATAAAAAAATAACCAATAAAATTTTATTGGTCATTTTTTAGAATTATTTGTGTCTTTATTCATAATTTATGGATCCTTTATTGCAATTTTTTGTCCCTTTAACTAACTTTTGAAGTTTCTTTTTGTCATTTCCTTCTTGGGTAAAATTTAAAGTCAATGTTTTGTTAACAGAAGGGTTAAATTGTATTATTTAAAAGTTAAAAAAAATATTGTACTGAAAGTGAGTTTAGATTTTCAGACATTCCAAATTTGTAGTTCAAGAGCCTATTTTTCATTTAACCCTTTCTTTTATATTCACATTTCCCAAGTTATAAAGAAAATTACATATTACTTGTAAATACCGTATTTTGTCCAGACATTTTTAAAAAATAATAATAAATAACCCAAAAAAATAAAATACAAAAAGAAAATTTAATCCTTTTTTAGGATTATATTTTAAAAAAATATAATAATCTTAACAAAAAAAATCTTGTTTAAATCTTTTAAAATCTCTCCTAAATTATCCCAACTATTCAAAATATTGGGAATCAATTTTTTTGAGACTCAACTATTTTTAAATTTTCCTTCCTTAAATCTTTTTATTTTTCATTTAAATATATATATATATATATATATTAAAATTAGACTTTTCTTTCTCTCCCTTAATCTAATTAGTAAAAAAAAGAAAAAAAAGCATTAAAAAAAAGAATTGCTGAAAAA